ATCACCTAATAAAAACACCTTTCCCTATCATGCTGCCAACAGGTTTCCATGAGAAGTCACTGGTGACTATCAAGCAGCAACTTGAGCCAACAAAAAGGAAAAAAATCCTACATCATGTCCCCCTTAACTCAAAGATCATAACACATGGCATTCATTTACAGAAGCCATAACTACCAAAGATACCTCTGCTACATTCTACATGGTATAGCTGCATGATATACGTCACTTTCCAGGAGTCAGTTTTTCAGTTAGTCAACAATGCTTTTCACTTCCCACGCACACCTCTTAGTTCCATATTTCATAGTAACTGATTATTTGCTTACCCAGATATCTGCCTTGGTAGTAATTGGTTTTCCTCCATAAAGATTGATCATTTCGGGAGCTCTGTACGATAGTGTTGTATACCTAGAAGTATATAATTAAAAGAGAACACAGGTGAAAAGCGTGCCTCGGAACTGAAAGTGTGTTTTCCTGCATCTGCCAGGCACACACCATTCACACCCAAGTTTCAGATATGCGCGTAGAATTGCCTTATGCAATGCAAGTCATTTACTGCATTTGCAGCATCACGGAGACTATTTGGAGTAGCAATATAAAATTATCACACACAAGAATAAAGATTAAGTCAGTTAACATTTGCTTTTAACATTATTTCCACAGCACAAGTACTTTTGCAAGAGTCATGTTGCTTAACTACTGCAATAGCCACTCATTTGAAAGGTGTAATATAGGAGTCACACAAGAGTATTCCCTACTACACATTGAAACATACAGAACACCGACTTCAAAAAGCTAACATCTCAAAATAATTACTCAAGTGGTAGTCAAAGTATTTTTCAGAGCTGGAAAAAACCCAAACTGTATCACTTTATAACTTGAAAACAAGTAGCCTGTACTTATTCCTCTGGAGCAGTTAACCCAAAGGGGCAAAATGGAGCTAATACACGTTTTCAAGGGCACTCCTGTAATAAAAGCTAGTGTATTTTTCTGGTCAGTCTTAGGAGAATGAACACGGACCTTACTCTATAAATAAGACTGTGTAAATCCATTCCAATGCTTATTTACATCAACTCTTTTTCTCTCATACCACTAGCTATATTAAAATTGCATAAATTAAAAATATCAGGCTCCTAAAATGGCTAGTAGCCAGACACATATTTTTGAACCATTTAATCTCAAAACAGCACACTTTTTTCCAACAGTTTTTTCCTTGGAAGTCTCAGTTTTGCAAAAACAGTCTGTGAGTAAGTAGAAGAAATCTATGTTACCAAATAGTTCCACTGTTTTACTGTATTTATGTCAACATTAGTTCAAATTCAACCATGAAGTTCAACACATTAATAATACATATGCACACTGCGCAATAAGCCACGGAGTTTCCTACCAGCACAATCATTGCTTATGACAGGCCACTGAAAAGTGAACTTACTTTTTAATCTCTTCTTCAACCACATTAACACCATCTTTTTGAGGATTAAGATATTTGTTAGTGGCGCTGCCGAAATCACAGAGAACATAGTTCCCACTATCGTTTAACAATATATTCTCCACCTTGAAACGAAATTGACACACAGAAACATTAGACGAAAATAACGGCATTAATTTCCAAGTTAACTGTTACAACGAATTCTCACCAACAGGAAAGTTTTCACAAAAATAAATCGATACACTTGGCATTAGTAGTAAGAGATGTCTTATTGTTTAGTGTCTCTGTTTACAGCTGCACCAAAAGCAAGTTCTTCCCTAACTAGAAATCAGCCTTAGTGAAATGCCTTCTATATTCTCAATCCTTTTTAAGTAGATCATTGATTTTATCCAAGATGTTCCATTTTCTTAAGTTCATACCTTCAGATCCCGGTGAACTATAGGTGTTTTGCACTGATGCAACCGGGCAACGGCTTCGCAAGTATCACAAAATATTCTCATTACTTCTGACTCAGTAAAGCCTGTCTGCAGACGCTGATTCATCTGATTGACAACTTGCCCAGCTAAAGAAACAACAAAGTAATTACTGTTTTTTAGCATTTCCCATTATGTACAGAAGTAGACTTATTTATAGGCACACAGTCCACAAATATGATGCAAGAAAGTTTTCCACAGTCACTGTATTTAAATAAAACAAACCTGGTTTTCCAAATGCACACTCTTGTATTATCCTAGATAAAAAAATTACTGTCTCGAATGAAAAAAGAAGTTCCTGTAACTGAAACCCATTTGAGACAAATTGTCATAAACTCAAAGAAGCATCCATCACACTGAGATGTTGCCTCAAAAGTATCTCTTGCTTTTAGGTTCATAGCCAAAACCCTGCCAGCCAACTAAGTTCAGTTTAATTCATATTCTAGACACCTTCTCTTTCTGTCTTTCTGGAAGAAAAACGGGAAAAAAAAAAAGATGGGGGGGCAGAGGGGAGAGTCCCAAATCCATCCTTTGAGAGAGACCTCGCTTAACCTCCTCATAGGTTTCTTTCTAAGATTGGGAATCATTATTTCCCTGTTTCTTAAAGTAATTTTATCAGATAATACCGGGCTCTTTCTAGCACCACGCTCACTTAACACTAAGAGATGAAGTAAGACGCAGTATCTGCAGGACCTTAGCAAGCATTCTGTCAAAACAAGGATGCCTTGAAGAAGAAAAGCCTAACGCTGTCAAGTCATCTGACATCCACATAGCTATCTACCACTATAATCAAGGGAAGAGTGCTACCAACTGGGAGTCAGAAGTGAGCTCCCACAAGGGTACAGAAGTTCACACACGCAGGCAGGGTAGAAGGCCTAAATCATGGCCATTAGTTTTAAATTTATCTCCCTACTCCCTTCCCCAAAATGTACATCAAGACTGTCTTCAACTCCTTACGGTACAGATTGCACAAGCTGTAACGTTCACTGCTTCCACTGCAAATAGAACCACCGCAAAGCTCATCTGAAAGTATTCTTCCAGCATTACAGGCAATGGGGTGGGTTTTCTTTCTAGTCTATAGAAATACTCACTTTGTACTTGTAGCATTTGTTTTAAATATCATCACCTATTTGGGTTAACTACCATCTTGTACTATGAGGGCAGTTCCCAGTTACCCTGAATTTTAGATAAACCTGAGAAGTTAAACACAATAGCAAGTTTATTCCACTGCATATGTGAGGTGGGGGGAAAAAATAATTCAGTAACTATCTGGTTTTACATACTGTTTGAAGCAAAGTTACATTATAGAGCAGGACCATGGGACTAATTTTTTTTTTGGCCAGCATTATCAACACTAACTATGCTATGCTCATTTATAACAAGTCACCTGCCAGACAAAAGTAAAGCATCTTGATTATTGCTATCTGAAACAAAAATAGCAGAGGGCAAAAAGCAGTGAAAAGCTTGCCAAACTTTCCTGTGAATAGTGTTCTAGCTACACGTCAATTAGCATAAACAGCAGAACAGAACTATTTCCCTCGATACTTACCAAATAATTTTCTAATCATACTTCATTACAAAGCCACGTGCTTAAGTAACAATGCAAACAGAAAAGCAAAAAGTGCTAATGGGATTCCAGCTGTGAGATAGATTGTATGTTAACCTTTCATATTATGGGAACAATTCCAAGTAAAAATCCCAGGTGATCAATACTAACATATTCCCTGCACTTACTCTGAAAACCTACGAGTTGATTCTTACCTCGACAGTACTCCATGAGAATGAGCACCTCCCAAACATTATCACTTATAGAGTTAACAGCGCAATCTAAATAGCTCACAATATTCTTGTGCCCAGATAACTCTTTCTGAAAAAGAAAATGGACATTACGCTTCAGCATAGAAGAATTTAAACAAGTAAAAGACAGTACATGTTTTCAGACAACCATTTATGATGTCAAGTTAAGTTAGCCCCTGACCCACATCCACTACTCTTGAGAAAGTACCGCAAACACAGAACATAAGCTGATTGCTACCAGCAACGTCAGAGTGACTGCTATGTATCAAACAACGCAGTTACTACTCAGAAAAGAACTTTTACACACTTCTTGTTGAACAGTGCAAACACATCCATATGGCTGCTTTCTAAAACAATGTTGTGAAGTAGTCATAGCTACAGCCTTGATATTTAGGAGATGCGGAAGAAATACGGTACTCATGTCCATCCTAAGCTAAACTGAAAAAGTCTCTCTGTTATTAAAAAAGGTAGCTCGAAAAAAGCCACAGCTGTTGTACCCTGACCTATCACCAAGTTTTACAAAGTTATTACACACAAGCAACTGAAGGTGTCCCCAATGAAAAACAACTTAAGAGCCATTTTAAACGCGTAATTAAGCAATGCTTATTTCACATCTGACTATACAAGTGTTGTCATCTGTACTACAGAGTTTCTGCCTGTTAAGTTTTATGTAACTTAAGGTTAACATAAAAGTACCTCTTACATCAGATTATTAAATAGGTGCTGCTATGATCAGAACACATGGAAACTGGAAGTGTATGGAGATAGAGATAAATTGTATTCATCGTGTCTGCTGGAAGGCAATACAACAGATTTTCTCTTGCCCAATGAGCCACAGACTTTTTTCTCCCCCTTAAATTTCTTTTTTTTTTTTTTTTTACCTGTCCAGTAATCATAAACCCAAGCGTGCCTGACTAAACCTTCTAGTTTCTCCTTATTTGCTAGCCATGTGCTGAAAACCAACAGAAACTCTGGTGATGTGGGGGATTTTGGCTACACACCTATCAGCTACCCCAACACTGGCTGCAACTTCAAAAACGTGCTTACACCTACTCAAGAGGACAATACTCATGGAAGCCACTGGCAGCATCATTCAGCTAGCACAGCTGTGGCCACAGAGGCCTTGAGAATTTAAGTTACCACTGCAGAACTGGAAGAAATCACTTTTGCTTGGGAACCAGATGTACTGACCAAATCGACCATGTATCAAATAAATTTTTTATAATTGCTTTAGAAGTTAATCATGCACCAACCCTAAACTCAGCATTAGTTTCTGAAACTAACAGTGCAAAATCAGGACCGCAAGGTCAAAAGAAAAGGTGGTTTAGATCAACAAAACATTGAAGAGGCTTTTGGTGTACATATATTATATATTAATACATTCATCAGTTACAAATAATGGGCTTCTTACCATAATTGTAATTTCTCTCTTGCATATGTTGAGATCCGGCACATTATTAACATACATTCGTTTCAGTGCACAACGTATTCCACCATGGGTACGTACCAGAAACACCGTTGAGAAGCCACCTGGAAAAAAGTTACAAACAAATAAAGCTACTCAAGTTCCTGTTACTCCTCTAGCCAACACCGCTACTTGCCACAAAATGAGTAAGTCAGTCTATGTCAGTCATTGAGCAAGGAGTAACAAACAGTTAACAAGTTATAAAGATTTGCTAGCTCAATCCATTTCACATAAAGTATTCTTGACAAAAACGTAAGGATCTTACTATTTTGTTACAACATTGAATGAAAATATTTGAAAAGCATTTTCACATTCAAATAAATTTACAAAGCCTAGTGCAAACTATGTATTCAGTTATCAACCCTGAAGGACTTGCACAGTCACCCAGAAACCCGAACAAAGTGAAGGTATTCTACAGGTCTTCACAACTTCTAAATCACTCCATACTTGATAAAGGTTAACGTTAATTCCCTAAACCTACACTTTAAAATATAAAAATTAAAATACTAAGAAAAGAGAGTCTTGAGAGATACTAAAGTAGTCATGCAACTTTTCAGCATAGCCTAAAGACTGGTAGAACCTCCCTGAAATCACAGATGGTACAAGCAATCAGCTCTGCAGCAATGTTTTTATTAAAACCCATACTAAATATGCAGTTAAGAATTAAACATTTTCCCACAACTAGCCCCAGCAGAAGCATTCTTAGTCCAAGAGCGAGCCACATACTCTAGCCCATCCCCCAGCTTCCCAGTATGAGGTTTTTCTTTTTCTCTTCACTGGCAGAGAAGCATCACACAGACAAGACTGACACACAGAAGCCAAGTGACACAGCCTACACAGAAAGTACTTCCAAATGCTCAGGCAAACCAAAGGGAAAAACAACACTCTCCTGTTTAACTGTCTTCTGCTAGTCTTAACTACCGGCTCCAGGCCTCAAGCAGATGACGTTAGCATCACCTCGAGGTTCACACACTCAGCTTTCCCACAGTTTTAGGGAATCTGCCTCACAGAAGAGCTCACGTAAACCCATACGTTCCTTAATTGACTGCTGTCTGATGGTAAGCCAACTACCACCATGGGAAGTTTCAACTAGTGCAAAACCTCAGGTATACAATCAGGACAAATATGTAAATTAAAATGATTAACTACCCTGATAATCAGCCAGCCAATTGAAATACATGCATTTCATGTTTCCTGATATGATCTGCAAGCAGCCTTTATTAAGTATAACGTACTTCATTTGAGCCAAGTCTCTTGTGCTTGAGCAAATATGCATGTAATTTACAATAGAAGCTAAGTTTTATTACAAAATTTTCTTGAAGATTAAGTATCTATTATTTTTTAGCTTAATTGCACATTTAGCCAAACGAGATGCTACGCTATCAAAACAGAACTACTGCCAATTTTAATACAACAGCCTAAATTCTGCAAAATTATTATACTTAACTTGTTTATGTAGGGCCTTCACAAAACATTAACAGGATACCCTCTCAAAGAATCATAGAATCATTTTGGTTGGAAAAGACCTTTAAGATCATCAAGTCCAACCATCATCCTAACACTGCCAAGACCACCACTAAACCATGTCCCTAAGCACCACATCTATACGTCTTTTGAACACCTCCAGGGATGGTGACTCGACCACCTCCCTGGGCAGGCTGTTTCAATGCCTAACCTCTCTTTCAGTAAAGAAATTTTTCCTACTATCCAATCTAAATTTCCTGTGGCGCAGCTTGAGGCCATTACCTCTTGTCCTGTCATTAGTTACTTGGGAGAAGAGACCAACATCAGCCTCACTACCAACTTCCTTTTAGGTAGTTGTAGAGAGCCATAAGGTCCCCTCTCGGCCTCCTCTTCTCTTGGCTAAACAATCCCAGTTCCCTCAGGCACTCCTCATAAGACATGTTTTCTAGATCCCTCACCAGCTTCGTTGCTGTTCTCTGGACCTGCTCCAGGACCTCAACGTCTTTCCTATACTGTGGCACCCAAAACTGCACACAGTACTCAAGGTGAGGTCTCACCAGTGCTGAGTACAGGGGCACAACCGCTCCCCTGCTCCTGCTGGCCACACTGTTGCTGATACAGGCCAGGATGTTGTTGGCCTTCTGGGCCACCTGGGCATGCTGCCGGCTCATGCTCAGCCAGCTGTCGACCAGCACCCCCAGGTCCTTTTCTGCCAGGCAGCTTTCCAGCCACACTTCCCCAAGCCTGTAGCGTTGCATGGGGCTGTTGTGACCCAAGTGCAGGACCCGGCACTTGGACTTGTTGAAGCTCATACAATTGGCCTCAGTTCAGTGATCCAGCCTGTAAGCCTCATGTTACTAAGGTTCTAATGCCAAACTCCATCTGGGGCTGGAACTATCCTATAGGGCTCCACTAACACCAGCCTGGGGGATTATGGTAAGAAACATGGGCAGACCTTTGTTAGTGGAAGACTTTTTGTACTATCCTCTCAAAGAGAAGCCTCTTTTTTTAAGCACCAAAAATACAAAGCAGTACTCAGGTAAGGGACTAAAGTCTAATAATTAGAAGACAAAAATTACTTCTTGTATTTTTAACCAGTTTTACAGCCTTAAAATTCTCTCCGACTGGCAGGAGGACAAGAACAGAATGGCGGATTGACAATCGTTTTTATGTAACCAGAGCAGACATGACTGGATAAAAACAATCAGTAGAAAGTAGTGGGGAAAAAAAAAAAAGCTTAACTCAGACAACTGCTCTTCTTGCCATTAGGTGGCAATATGAACCAATACTCGAACCGTGAAGTGGCCATAAAAGAAGACCTATTCCCCATTTTGTCAAGAAGTAGGTATGTGACCTTGTATGGTTTTCCATTAGTAAATATCACCGCTATAAATACCCTTTCATCAGAAAGACGAGAGCATAACTCTGAACAAAACTTGAGTAAGTATATTAATATCTACAGGAAAATTAATAGTCATCAATGTTCTGGAAATCTTCATCCAGCAAAACCCTGAACCATTAAACTTTAAACCTTTTCTAGTAATTTCTGATGTTAAACTTCTCACTGAAAGGACCAAAGCAAGCAATAATCAGTGCTGTAAACACTCATGAAAACTCTCACTAAACATTGCCCTCTATCTGGAGGGAAGAAGGTAAGTACGTACATGGCCTTGTCCTATGCAGAAACACAACCACAGATAATGAGTAGTTGTTTTGCCCAGACTCGAGATTGTAGACTGAACAGAACTACACTTCCACGTGTCCATCAGCATAGGAGCTGGCATTTCACAACCATTTACAGAAGCTGAAAAAAAAATTACTATTATCAGATATCACTGAAGACAGAAAATATACTGTTTTCCATAATACATCCAAAAAAGCTTAAAACATAACTGTCATAGGCTATGGCACATAAGAAGATGACAAGAAAGTTCCCAACGTAAAGTCATCACCTCTTCTACACACTTCCGTTCTTTACGACCCATGATGACAATTCTGGTTGCCGCCTTAAATTCCTGATATAGTCAAGTCACAATACCCCCACAGCATCCCGTTTTCTCTCTTTTGTTCCACATCCTCAAGAACAACTCAAACCTAAGTTGAGAGGCCACAGAAAAAGCAACTAAGGAAACCACAGGGCCAGTAACACAGTCCACAGTCAAGACCCAAATACAGGACTAACTGCAGTTCCAAAGAGACTCATAGACAAAGCAAAAGCACAAAGAAGTATCATTATGCACAACGAGAATAGCACTGCATTTAGCCTGCCTGTACTGGCCCACACGAACTTTTCAACAACACCCCACAGCCTTGCTGCTAAGTGTGAATCAATGAGGCACCACATCTGGGGGCCTCACAACCACAACTCATCTCTATTACTCTCAGACCTTGCCACGAAGACCCGAAGGCCACTATTTTCCCCTGAAAATACACATGTCCTTTTCATTGTGTGCTGTATTGTTAGAATCAAATTATCTCTATTTCCTTTCCCAGATTTGAGACTTTGTACTGGCTTTGGTAGGGACAGAGTTGAACAGATTAATAGTAGTTGTACGGGGCTATGTTTTGGATTTGTGCCGTAAACAGCACTGACAATCTGGGATGGGTTAATTACTGCTTAGCAGGACTTAGGCAGTCAAGGCCTTTACTGCTCCTCACACCCCCTGCCAGCGTTGGACAAGTACACAAAGCTGGGACAGCAGACCCCAACTGACCCAAGGGATGTCCCAGACCATATATGATGTCATACTCAGCATATAAAGCTGGGGGAAGGAGGAGGAAGTGGGGGACACTTCGAGCGACAGCGTTTGTCTTCCCAAGTCACCGTGATGCATGACAGAGCCCTGCTTTCCTGGGGCTGAACACCTGCCTGCCAATGGGAAGCAATGAAGGAACCCCCTGCTTTGCTGGCATGCACGGCTTCTGCTTCAGCTGTTAAACTGTCTTTATCTCAACCCACGAGTTCTCACTTTCACCCTTTCCATTCTCTTCTCCACCCTACTGAGGGCAAGTGACAGAGTGGCCATGTGGAGCTGACTCGCCATCTGGGTTTCAACCACAGAAGACTTGTAGGAGCTGAATCTCTTATAGTCTTGTATTCCCACCAAACTCATCCAAGACTTAAATACTCAAAAGTTACACCGGACAGTCACATACCACAAGTCACTTTTCCTTGAAATACTTGTTAAAAAGCCTTTCTCTAACATTGATGGTTACATAAGTCAGTAGATGCATTGCAGAATTAAAACTCTGAAGCTTTGACAGATAAACTCAGTACAAAGCTCAGAAAGTTGAAATTCACAGATTTTCCTACGCATATTTAAGGACAACCTTGTAAAGTTTCATGGGCCTCAACCTTCTATTTATGCTTTACCATGTTACATTTCTGAAACTCCAACCAGGAAAGAGAGTAGCTGTCAGAACTGAAAACAGGCTATTGCCTTACCCAGGTACCTTTGCTTACCTGAGTAAGCTAATAGGGTGTTTTCAGTTCTGTACCTTTAGCATCTTTCAGACTGCTGACAACTGTTCCGTCAAGACAGTCTAGAAGAATACCACAAAGATACCCTGAACAAAGTTAGATATACAGACAGTAA